AAAGGAATTTATTGCTTTAAATGTATTATGTGCAAGGGATATGATAACCTTCCATAATCTTCATCAGACACGGTAAATCTGAAACAGATGTAGTTGAGACAATTCTTGAATACCAGTTATTGTTTTCCATCATAGTGGGTGACAAACCCCAATACTGTCTTTCAGAGTCCCCAGTACTGTCTTTCAGTCTTATCAGCTCAAAGACAATGCTCCATCTGACTCTTGCTCAGTGGTGAAGACCTTTGTTGTGTTCCTCAGGCTATTTATTACTTCTGGTTTTGCTAAAGGTGTATTTTCTTCTACCAAATTAATTAAATGTAAAAGAGAGTCTGATTTGCCCATGCCTTGACCTTTAGTGTAAAACCCCTCCTCTCTTCGCCCCACCTCACCTCCAAGACCCCTATATACTCACATACATGAAATCCTTAGCTGGTTCAGTCATCCAGTTCTTGCTTACCATGGATGTAAAGGCAATGAGGACTAAAGCCTTTAAGATGTTACTATGTGTGGATATCAATAATCAGGGTACTGTCCTGAGTAGGAATTAAAATACACCAAGTCTTTCCTGCCATCTATACCCAGAAATGTAAGGGAAAAATTTTTCATGTTGCTGCTTCACAAACACAGCGTTGCCCTGTTGAGAAAATGTCTTTTTCTCAGTGATTGTATTTGTCTGTTAAAGACATCTTCTCAGAGTTGAAGAAGGAACTCTAGGAATGGGTGTTTTATGGTTCATTTTGAGGATTTTTGTCCCCTCAATGTGCAGAAATTCTTCTAGGAGACAGGGTCAGCTGGGGGGGTCCCTGGGCATTAGAGCTACTTTGCAAGTGCAGAACATTGAACGTTTCCAGCTGCAGAGAGCTCACTGCCTACTCATGGCTTATGGGAAGTTTCGTTAGCAAGCCTTGCCAGCTGTCCCATCTAATGCCACCCAGCATGGTGACTTGTGTAACGCAGCAGTCATGTCTTCTGACAGTGAAACAATACTTTAAAGTTCTTTACAATGAAAAAGAGCAGATGCTTAAAGTTGCCAAAGAGCTGTGTTTGAAAGACAACTCAGGTGTCAGAGTTACCATCTTCTGGGAGATATATTCTCCCTTCACCCTTTCTGCCAAGAATTATGACAGGAAAGAATTGCCTTCTTCCTCCGTGTTTACTTTGTGTAGGAATGGCATTGATGGGGAGTGAGTGAGTGCTGGTGTCCACGGGGATGTCAGGAAGGGCTGATGGGAGCCCCTCTGATGAGTAGGTTGCCTACAGCATGCACCCTCATGGACTGGTGTTGCACAAGCATGCCCAGTGAAAAGTGTCAGTAGTGATCCTTGGTTAAACAAGTCTTGACGGAGAGCTTGTTTTCTTTCCCTTACCATTCATTTACATTTTGTGTTTGCATAAATTTAACATAATCACTGTTAAAAGTGGGACCCATGATCACATTGATTGGCCTGGAAAGATCAACTGTGTAAGCTGGAAATCTGTTTAGTCACTTCTCTAGGAGATGTTACTGACACCATCCCCATTTCGATAATCCTACTATAAATGTCACTGATATTTGGCTGAGTAGGGGAGCAATAGGATCCTATGGCCATAGGAACTGGAATGATGCATGTGGAAATCACCTTTTAAGCAATTGTCACATGCAGTTTACTTTTCCTCTCTCTTCTGGTCCTGAATCAAATAGCTGCTGAGACTCTTTATTCATATCTGGTTTTAATTTGAACCTTTACTTAATAAAATCAAGGATGAGCGGATACTTCAATTTCTTCCAAATACAATCAATATTTATTTCTGACAGTCTTTGGATAGGACTTTGAGTTGCTTTCTGGAAACTATTAGCAGGTAAAATCTATCCACCCAGGCACTTCTTTGCAACCTGGAAGTTTCTGCCTTTCTTCCTATGACACATCACAGAAATGTTCTGTTAAATGTGTAGAGATGGGCTGCAAAAATCCATTAGGGTTAATTTGAAGCAATTCCAGAATCTCAGCTTCTCCCACTCTATCTGTAGTTTAGTAAGTTCTCTCTTGCCAGTTTGTGAAATGCTGTTGCTGCTTTCTGCTCCCACACTGTGATAGTTTGTTTCTGTTTGATAAAACTGTTCCTGTGGGAGACTTCTATTTCTTCCAGCTGAGCATCTCAGTGCATCAAGCTGGGCAGTAAGCCTGTGTTGCTCTTACAAAATTGTAAATAGTTTAAAAAAAAAAAAAAAAAAAAAAAAAAGACTAATTTTTTTTTTATTATTTCTCAATAAGTGATGTGGGACCATGTTACCAGTATCATCAAGTAGCCACAACCTTCCCAAGTTTTAGGTGGGATGGGAGCCCCAGTAGTGACTCACACCCTGCCAGTGCTGGGTCCCCACCCTGCATCATAAGCCGCAACGTGTGTTGATGCTGAGGATTTGATGAGGGAAGGCAGCCACGCATGGATCTCTGAACAGGCACTGTGCACATGGTGCAGACCTCTACGCTTGCTGATAGGGATCAGTGCCGAGGTACATGACACCAGTGGATCTGTGTGTCTGGCCCACGAGAACATCGTGTGAAACCAGCATAGGTGCTGGTCAGCAGGAGTTACGACTCCTCAGGTCAAAACCCTCCCAGTTACACAGATGCACAACTTGGAGCAGCTTCAGTGAAGCCCAGAGTGGGTGCTCTGAGTCAGGTGGAAGCTATGCATCTTTGCCTAACTTTGCATGTGCCTAATTGCATTTCTTTTCTACCTGTGATAAATGAGCTAATGTATAATCATGTATGAGGCTTAGTCTGGCCTGAAGCAAAGTGTGTGCTCAGTGACACCAGCTATTAAGAGAGAAATTTCTGTGGAAACTGAAGGGTAGTGATTTCTTTTGTTTCCTTACCAACAGTAAAGACTATATTAAATAAGCTCTGCCTAACCTCTGAATTTCAGGGAAATCTGCAGAATAACAAAAATATCAGATCACAGAGCATCTTCTGAAGGAATCTGTGGTAACAGAGCCATCTGTATATTTTATTGAATGTAACCTTATATATGCATTCCTGTTAAGCAAGGAAGGAGAGCTATAAAAATAAATTGAATTACAAAGGGTAATGCCAGAACTGGATGCTGCAGAACGAGACTTGCCCTCCTCCCCTTTTCTGGTATACAGTCTGTCTCCTTCTTTCAAATAAATATAGCAAAAAGAATATATGTTAAGAAAACTAAGTTTCTTCAAACGAATTAGATTAATACCCACAAGTCTCTAGGCACTTTCGTGCACAAAAGAGTGAACTGCAACCCCATCTCACACTATACTTGAGAACTTTAATTTTTTTTTTCTTTCTCCTTCACTTTCTATCATCCGATTGTAAGCTCTTACAGATACAAATGCAGAGCTTCCCCAGAGCAACAGCAGAAGACGCAGCACATTCCGAGCTGGGTGGGCAAGGCGGCGGAGGAAGAGGAGGGCAGGAGGGGTGCAGGCAGGCCGAAGAGGAGGGGAGCATCCCTGGTGGAGGCAGGGCTCGCTGCCTGGCGGGGGGCTGCCCGGGGAAGGGCCGGGGCAGCACGGAGCCTGCCCCGAGGTGGGGGTGGTGTGGGAAAGGGCGGCTGCCCACCCTCTCAGGCTGCCCCCATGCACCCGGCCCTCTTGGGAATGCAGAGATCCTTTCAGCGTGTCCATTCTCGGCCTTGTTATTTTACGTCTCTTTGCAGGGGGGATTTTCTAAGTTGGCAAATAGGTGGTTTGTTCTGTGTCCTTTGTACTTCCTTTTAAGCACAATTAATTATTTTAATTGATTAATATTGCACCGAGCAGGAAGGGACAGCTCCTCTGCTTTTTTTGGTCTAATTACCAGTCTGGATTTCTGAATGACAATAGGGCTGCTAATTAATCTCACTGCAGTTCTCACAGAAAGAGATCCTGATAAGAACTGGCCAATTAACATAAGAAAAAAAAAATGTCAAGAGTCCTGTTGTGTTTTTCTGTCATCCACTCCAGTCAGATGAATATCACTATTAAATACAGAGACAGAATAAGACTAAGCAGGAGCACCAGTGGGCCATGGGGCTCCTCCAAACTTCCCCAGACATTATTTATTCATGAGTTAGCTGTTATTTGGATGCCCGTTCACTCTTGCTGCCTAACATTGCTTGCTACGGTTTTTATAAGCAGGAGGAAGATGAACCAGGGCAGTGCGGCAAGTGTTTGACCATGCCAACAGGGAATTTCTGACAGTGACCTGATGTTAATCAATATTAGCAGAAGGCTGACAGGGCAGTTTTGTCAGGGTGGGTCCCAGGTCTGGTGTGGCTGGGGGCCTGGGGTCCACGTGGGGTGTTGCCTGGTTCGGGAGCACTCCCACAGTGCATGACAGGGAGCACACAAGTGCCATGCAGGATGGTGCTGGTGGTGGTGGGCAGTGGGGGCAACCCTTGGGCTCCTTTACATGTCTCACAAATTGTGCTTGTTAGCCATGGTAGCGCCAGCATACAGCCCAGGTATTCACTTCACTTCTTGCAGGGGAAGTTTGCAGCCTGTGCTGACTTTTCTGCTGCTGCAGCTAAGCTGCTAATAGTTCCTGGATAAACTAATTTAAAACCACCTGAGCATGTTACAGCAATGTGTAATCTCAGCTGTGGTGTAGGTACATCCATGAAAATACAGGGCCAGATGCTCAACTGAGACACGGTCCCTGATCCACACCAGCAATTTGAGACCAACATGAGTTACAGGGACTCCTCCAGCCATGGGAAGGGACAAGACCTTCTGCTGTTGCCAGGTTTTTTTCATCACCTTGAATTTTCTGGAGTGGTGTTTCTGGCCCATAGGACCACATGCCATGGGTGTTTCTGAAGAGGTGAACAGTACAGCTATTGCTGAGGCTGCTGTGTGCTGCTCTGGGTGACCAGAAAACTGTTGGGCAGTGGGATGTACAACAAGCTCATGGAAATCACTGGTTTAAGCCATGCTGGTTGAATTTAATTTCTCTATTTTTTGTTTTTGTTTTGTTTTTTTTTTTTTCTCTTTGTGCTTGCAGGTCAAAAGATTCTTCACCACAGAAGTGATGTCTTAGAAACTGTAGTCCTAATCAATCCCTCAGATGAAGCAGTTAGTACTGAGGTAAGTCAGAAATACTTGGATATGTCATAAAAGTTCTGTTAAGTGGACAGGATGAGAGCAGTGAAGCAGATGTCATTGAGATGAGTCTTGAATATCAGTTACCGCCTTCCATTTCAGTGACTGAAAAATCCCAATACTGTCTTTCAGAATCTTAGCAGACTAAGAGCAGGTCCTAACTGTGGATGAAAGGACATGTTAGGAGCAAATATAATGAAAAGCATCAGACATCCCTTGATTTTCTCCCTGGTTTCCCAGACTGACAAAACATCAGAGGCATAGGACAGAAATAGACCTCTGATCCCAGTATTCCTTTTTTCATAATGCACCAAATTCCCTTCTTGATGAAGTAGAGGCAGCTGTGGTGAAACTGCATCTGCTTTTCTTCTGCTCCTTCATTGTTTGGTAGCTCTGGATGCCTATTTTACACATGAAAAACATGCCTGAAGGTGACATGAAATAAATTTAGATCTTTGAGAAGAATTACCAGGTATGTGATGGTGACCCTAGGTTGATCTAAAAGTCCTTCTCAAAGCATGTGATGTGATCAATGAACTCTGGAGAGTGCCCCAGAAAAAGACTGTCAATTCCTCATGAACTTGCTAGAATAGAGTCAAAGAACTGAGTGTGTAGCTCAAAAAGAAAATTGACGGATTTAACTAGTGATATTGAAGGTTGAAAAAACAGGGATAATTGCATTGCTAGCCTGTTCTTGGAACCACTAACATAGTACCATTTTTGTTGGGAAATTAAGAAGCTCTGTTTGTAATACATAGTGGAAAATCTATTTTGTTACCAACCTTAAGTGATATTAAGCACAAGCAGGAGGAAGGACTCCAAAACAAATGAATTTTCTGAAGTTATAAAAGTTTAAATAAGTCACCTTACTTAATGGCAGCTCATTCACTGAAAAACTATGCATCAAAATCTTTTACAAGGCATTGCAGGCATTTGTTAAGGAGCAAGGGGGTCAGCTGGGTAGCAGCTCTTAATACACTAAGGCATTCAGAATAAAAAGCTATAAAGTGTATGTGTGTGTGTCTAAGGAGGGGAGAGCCAAAGGAACTGCCAAAAGTAGGGAAATGCTGTTTCTGTCACTGTTGCTCGTCACACTGTTGAAGGATGACCACATGGAAGAACACAGTCTGAGGCCCATTAATGACTTCTGAGCCCTGGCTTTACTCCTTTGGCTCTGGAAGATGTTTGGCTAGGTTACTGTTAATGTCCTCTCGCTAGACTGTGGGAGGCAATCTTTTCTTCTCTTTCATCTTGCCAAACTGGTCACAGCCAGAAGTTACAGGCTGAGATTTATCTTGGCTGGCTAAGCAAGACTCTGACTGGACACAAGCCAGAAAAAGACAATAAGAAAGAGGCAGGGGATTTAAATCAGAGGTTGGAATAGACATGCTCTGCACATTATGGCAAGTAGAAAACTTAGTTTCATATATCAAGAGATTTCCATGTTACATCTGGGGAGACAGTGATACACTATAGAGCTCTGACTTCAAGAGAAGATGAATTTGAATCTATCCATTCAGGAAAAAAAAGGAAAACTATATTAAAAGAAATTCCTGCTAATATGTCTGGTAAAAGCCATACCGATGGTAGTCTGAGTGCAGATCTGCCCAAAGCTCCTGTCATGTTCTGTCAACTGCCAGAAATACCTCCCAGAAGAGAGAGGCCCAAAGGGAGAGAGTGTACCTTTCCCAAAGAAACAATTTTCTGAAGTCCCCGCGAACAGTTACTTCCTTCTTAAAAAGACCCCACTCCATTGCTCTAACACTCCTGTAACTGTCCTGTCGGTCTGGGAAACTGCTGATCTGCTGGTGCTCCTGTCTCTGCTCACACTCCATCTTTACCTACATTTTGACTGAGGCTACCTCTTGCTGTTTGCTTCCTTCAAAAAGTTTGGGACTTCAAGCAAGGGTAAAGCTGAACAGAATCACCACATTGCAGTATTTTTTTCTGAAATGATGTGGTCTTGAAGTCAGGAGATGAATTTCTGGTAGTCCTTCGGAAAGCCTTGGTTATACCCAGACACAGAATTTATGTGTCTCTTGAAAGTCTTCTTTGTGTATCATACTTTATGCTCTGTAATCTGCAAGCATTTATTTACTTTTTTCTTGCCATAGTTTGCTAGCTCTGCAGAATGTCTTTCATCATCAATTAATAAAATAGGTTGAAGGGGAATTATGTGACAGTCACACATCAGTGATTCAAAAGTCAGGAAATAATTTTGCTGTTGGAAAACCTGGTGGGTTTACACATAAATTGGCAGACTGCCCAGAACTGCTGATAGCAACAAGAGAAAATGTGGAAGAGGAAGCCCGTTCTCTCATGGTTTTAATACAGCTAAAACAGACAAGATTTGAGCAGTACACATCAGACAGCCAGCTGCACTTATCTGTATTTTTATCTGAAATAGAAATAGATAGACTTGATCCAGCAAGGATATTGCTGGATTTATAATTATTTAGTGCAACTAGTGACAGACCAGCATTAGTCCTGTGTTTAATTAAAGGAACTTTCTGCTGTTTAGCATCAGGTCACTTATTTAATAACAATGGGAATGTGATAGAGTTGGGATCTTCTTTCAGATACATAGTTTCCAGTGCCTCTTTCTGCTTGTATTGGAAATTCATGTTGTTCAGCAGATTCAGGCTGAGCCTTCCTGACTCAGCCTGCCTGGCCTGAGCAAGAATTATTTATTTAAAACAACTGATCGCTTAACAATCAATATAAAAATTTGAAAGAATAGCTTGCTAGGAGAGCTGAGGTGATTATGTTATCATCATGGAGATGGAGCTTGGATGCAATATCATGTGGAGTTGTTCCAGATGGACTCTGCTCATTTAGTTTAATACATGGAGAGTCTTGTTCTGGAATCCCTATTCTCATTTAACTTAATTCCTCCTTAAACTGAGGAATTAGTGCACTTGAAATTCATACGTTACCATAGGCTGAGTTGATTTTTCAGTGTTGGACAAGACTTTTGAAGTATTTGCAAAAAATTCACTCAACAATACAGAATTTTACACAAGTTTTGTTTACTTTAGTTTTTTTCTTAAATTTTAGTTCAATTCATCGTACAGAAATCTACTAAATATATGGATTTCTCTTAGCATGCAAATAAATCTCCCCCTGGGGGGAAAGAGAAATTATTAGTAGCTGTAGTGAGGGTCAAGTAAAGTGGTAGGCATCTACTTTAAAATAGTGAAGAGTTATTGCAAAATGCAGAAGAAGGTTATTTCTCAGTAGCAAGCTCATTTGTGCCATCAGGCATCCACTTAATCTACTACTGTATGTTGAAAAAGGTCTTGGGTTGACATACTATAAAAACTTATAGCGTCCATAGTTAGTGACATCACAAGATGTTAAATGGTGTATGTGACTGTATGCGAGTGCTTGAAGTTCAAGTTTATGATTATGGCAAAGCAGAATCATCCCTTAACTTTCTAGATGATTCAGGTTACAACAGAATGACAATCTAAATATGACACTTCTATGTGTGAATTGTGGCCATTATTTTTCAGTGACATTTTTGCAACTGAATGACAAGTACTGCTGTACACTGAGAAAAGAAGAACAGCCTTCCAATAACAGAGTATGACACATGCAGTTGTCCCCCATTAGCATGTGGGACACAGTTTACCAAGGCTGTCCCGATACAGTGTTATTAAAATTCACTGAGTTATACAAGGAATATGTTTGCTCATTGAAAATTTTTTTTTTCATTCTAATTTTATTCTGTTCAGCTCCTTTCTCTTTTTTCCATGTCAATAGTTTGATTTATTCATCAGACTTCCTCTCTAATTGCTTCTTGTCTCTCCTTTTTTCCCTTTTGCACCTTTTCCATTGTCTTTTGTAAACAGCACTATACCTTTTTAATGTTTTGATGGTCCTGGGAGACTGCTGCAAAATATGTTTTAGATTGGAGAGATAAACTGCATGTTCTGAGCTGGATATAAAAACACATGGTAGCTCTCGTTATTGATGTATTTCTCTCCTTCACTCTAGGTGCGCTTAATGATCACAGATGCTGCAAGACACAAGCTCCTTGTACTAACTGGGCAGTGCTTTGAAAACACGGGAGAACTCATTCTTCAGTCAGGATCCTTCTCCTTCCAGAACTTCATTGAGATCTTCACGGATCAAGAGGTGTGTTCAGAAAAGTGTCTTCCATACATTGTTGTGTGATGGCAGAGGTTTCTAGGAGACTAAAAATGGCCCTCTGTGGTGTTAGAGTTAGCATCGGCAGCCTGGTGCTGATGCTCTTTACTCTTATTATAAGCTATCTTTCAAAACATTTAATTTACTTTAGATTTGATGTAAATTGCCTAACAAATGAATGAAATTTTAATTTGGGGAATTAAAGTGTAACTTCCAGAAACAGAAAATCAAGGAACCTTTTGACAATGGAAAAAGATACAGCTGTGTTTAAAATACAGGTTGTTTATCTAAGGTGCACATACAAAGCAATCAAATTGAACTTGACACCACGTTCTTGCCTGGTGGCATCTAAGTAATAGGTGACATTAAATAAGACAGAAGCTGCCTCTTGGAATAGCTGTAGTTTTTTGCACCACCAACCTGCTCGGCTTCTTTGTAGTACTGTTTAAAATTTGGCCCATGAAATCTATAAATCTTGCAAATTTTATGCATCAAAAAGATACGTATGAAGTATACCAGGGTTTAGTGCCGTTTGTTTCATGACTTGTTATTTTGCTGTCTTGCTTAATGTACTGTGTCTGAAAGCTCCCATAGGGCAGGAACCCATAGTAAACAAGCTGTCACAGTTAATTTGGCAGCTGTGTAAAGTATATATTTAAATAAACTATATGGCTGCATCCCTAGGAATTTAGATTCCAAAAGTAATCAGGAGTATGTCAGTGAAGAGAGATTTGAAAGTTCAGCACTGAAAAAGCGAAGTTTGCATGAGCTCCAGTGTGACCTTATTGTATCTATTTGATCCTATTCTCAAAGCCTCTTTGTTCAGCATATGGTTGTAGAGGTGGGGAAAGAGCTGGATTCCTGCTCTCTGAAACACGTGTGACGCCTAAAACTCACTGGCAGTTCACAGAGTTACTTTTCTGTGAAATTGCAAACCCATGCTCCTTGCATCTCTGGCTAATTAGTGACACATAATTACTTTACAACTACATGTAAAACTAGATGCAAATCTTACCATTACCACTAGAAAACAAAATTGTTGGCTGGAAAGCGGAGGGTGGTGGTTGGACATGGGTTAAAGCTGCCGAGGGATTGCCGCAGTGGTGGGCGTCCAGGGTGTACTCCCGTGGGCTATGAGTAAGGCTCACTTGGCTTATCTCCATGGCTGGCAGCAGGCTCACCAGCCAGCCAGCATGGCTCTTTGGAAGTGTTGGCTTCCAGCTTATTGTTTCTGAAGCCTTGGGCTCTCACTGGTTCTACAAGATTTCACAAAAGTGAAGAAAGATTGCATTTGCCATACTGCAGTCTGTGTATGTGACATTTTTCAAAGGGTCCCATTAGAGGGAAATTTTTAGGTGGTCTACAGATTGGAAAAAAAAGGTTAGAAAAAAGAGCCAGAAAAAAAGTGATTAATGGTGATCAGAAGAAAGAATTCCTGTGCTGTCCTGACTCTGGTGGACTTGGCAGTGTTAGGTTTATGGTTGGACTCAATGATCTTAATGGTCTTTTCCAACCTTAATAATTCTATGAGTCTATAAGCATGTAAGGTTTGATGAGTATCGTGTAGAGTTGGTGTTTCTGGCCTCTGACCATTCTTATGTCACTGAACCAAACCTGAACTATGGTCAAAGAATGTGCTTATAAATAAGTAAATACCCTTTGGGGGATGCTCCTATGAAGTCTAATTCAGAAATCCATCTCTAGTGTACAGAACTTCCTGCAGGCAATGCCTAAAAGTGGTGTTTTCAAATTCTCTTGTACCAGAAGATTGAGGATGTCCCATTCCCACTGCCTCTGCAATAACAGCTGGCAGAGGAAAACCTTTGGTTTTACCTTTGTGGTCCAGGGTTTGAAACAGTCTTGTGTTTTCTCTGAGCAGCCAACTTGCTGTTTGCTATCACCAGTTGTGACACCTTTAAAACTTGAGGATTCTTCAACAGATGTCTCTCAGTGCTTGAAAAGATGATCAGGTTCGCAGATAAATTTCTTTGCTCCCAGAGTGACTTTGAACCCGGAGAAGAGAAGGAGCGGTTACATCTCTATGTTATCAAATAACATAAGCAGTGGAATTATTGATATCATTGGTGACATCGGCTAAAATGCAAATCCACTGACCCCTTTTCTGATGCATTCTTGAACTTGTTATTCATAACAGATATGATCTGTGTCTGATTTTTGTCCAACTTTTCATTGGCCTTGGTTACCAGTGGCTTAAAACCATCTGCATTATGTGTGCCAACTTTTAGAAGCAAAGAAATTCAGAATTTTGGTGTATGAAGCAGAAATCCAAATATGGTATTATATGAACTTGAGCGGAATAACCCCAAACCATGGCCTGGTATATTCATTATCCCAATGTATTACCATATGTTTTTTGTTTTGTTTTGTTTTATCTAGCCAGAAAATTCACCCTACATGAGAAATAGTCTGTACTCAAGTTATCTCCTTATGGGTGCAACAGACTTTGATTTATTCATCCAGAGGAAGTGAACTTTTACTATTTTTGTCTCTGCCTAATAATGTGTTTTCAACTCTGGTCAGAGACACAGCTTAAGGAGTACACTCAAGATCCTAAATTCATTTCAGAGCTGTGGTCTGTGTTGTCCCTCTTTTCTTCTGCAATAAACAGCAGGAATATTTCTCCTATTTTCCTTATCTTTCATCCTTTTCATCCTTTTCTCCTTTTTATTTTGTTTTGCTTTTTTTTTTTTCCTTTGCTCCTTTTCAGACAAAGCCTTGTCTGATTTATGGGTGAGATTTATTTATACTCCAGTCAAATGGTTTGGATACTCAGTCAGGCTGACAAAGGAATATAGAACATATTCATTTTCTGCTTTATTTAGGTATTTTTCTTTGGATAATAGTCATTGCGTCTTTGTTGAGGATTTTTTTTATAAATTCTGGAAATAAATGATGTAACACAAAGAAAGGAAGTGAGTCATATACACACAGAGGCCCAAAGAGATCTAATGCAATCAAACATCATTAATTTTTTATATTTCACTTCTTCTGCTGATTCAGCTTGTGGTCCAAGACTTTCAAATTATTCAGCTGTAACGTAATCTATGTCATCTTAATGAAAACTGTTCTTACAGCTTAAACTGAACACTGAGTCTGTGCAAATAAGGTTGTGGTATTTTGCATGATGATGTGCTGGCATATTTTTCACTGACATTTTATGTCTGAATTACTTCTTTAAAGAAATTTACGTGATTTGGTGGTCTCTTTGTTAAGAGCAAATAGAACAGAAATGGGCTACATTTAACCTAATTGTCAGTAAAAAAAATAAAAGCCAAATTAAAGTATCTGTGGAACAGGGAGAAGGTATGAAATATGTCATAATTTCTCATGTTTGTTTGTCTACTAATCGGAGACCATCAAATATTGGTATTTTTATTCTGACTGGAACAGAACAACAGCTCTTCATATTATGGCATAGAACTTCTTGTTTTCTGTGCCTTTGTTTTAGCAGCTGGTCTTGGTACTGATGGTACCAAATACTGTCAAAATTAATGGAGTTATTCTAGATTTCAACTTTTGTGGTCCATGAGTTCAAAATGAAAATAATGACAAGAGCATTTTTAACCCTAATTCTTTCTGGCTCTTTCTTGCATTTCTGAAGCAATAACACATTTCTTAGTGTTCTGGAGAACTCTCTTGCAGTCTGTCACACTAATCTGGGAGGCATGCTGGCTCTTCAGGAGCCAGCCGACAGAAAGAACTTCAGTAACAGTGATGTGGTAGAACACATCCCGTGAGAGAAGGGCTGAGGAAGGCAGCTGTACCAGGGAGGATGCTGGCCTCATCTGGGTTGCAGTTACTCTCTTCCTGTTAAGAGAATATGCTTTGCCCTTAGATATTTGGCTGGCTCTTCTGGATGTACTGGGGCACCAGGGAGACTCATGAATCAATGACAGAGATAGTGGCAGCTCTGGCAGTGTTAGCCTCATAGTCTTCATACCCTATCAATATAAAAGCTTGTACCATCCTCCTATAAAGGGTGGAGGAGGAAAGGGGGAATCTTGGGGTACTGTCATACTTTGGGCAATAAGGACCAGGAATAAGGTCTTTCTTTGTACTTAAAAAAAAATACAGTAGTAAACTAATTGTGGTAACAGGTTCCTTTAGCTTCTAGGATGGGTACTCACCACTGCAGAAGCAAATGAAAACATTTTTTTTCTATCTGATCAGGAAATACTATATTCTGACATTAGTTGTCATTAAAAAATGAATTTACATGCATCTTCTTGTGTTTTTGTTTTACAAACCTAGATTGGTGAATTATTGAGCACCACACACCCAGCCAACAAAGCCAGCCTAACTCTTTTCTGCCCCGAGGAAGGGGACTGGAAAAATTCCAACCTCGACAGACACAACCTTCAAGACTTTATTAACATTAAACTCAACTCAGCTTCCATATTGCCTGAAATGGAAGGACTCTCCGAATTCACAGAATATCTGTCAGAGTCAGTAGAAGTGCCATCACCTTTTGACATTTTGGAACCTCCAACCTCAGGAGGCTTCTTGAAACTCTCAAAGCCCTGCTGTTATATTTTCCCGGGGGGAAGAGGGGACTCTGCATTGTTTGCAGTGAATGGATTCAATATGCTTATCAATGGAGGATCTGAAAGAAAATCTTGCTTTTGGAAACTTATCCGGCACTTGGACAGGGTAGATTCCATTCTGCTTACTCACATCGGAGATGACAACCTGCCAGGAATCAACAGCATGCTTCAGCGAAAAATAGCTGAACTAGAAGAAGAACAATCCCAAGGGTCTACTACCAACAGCGACTGGATGAAAAATCTAATCTCACCTGATTTAGGAGTTGTATTCCTTAATGTACCTGAGAACCTGAAGAACCTAGATCCTAACTTTAGAGTAAAAAGGAGTGTAGAAGAAGCTTGTTTTACTCTCCAGTATTTAAATAAGTTGTCTATGAGACCAGAACCACTTTTCAGAAATATGGGAAATACGATTGACCCCATCATTTTATTTCAGAAAATGGGAGTTGGCAAACTTGAGATGTATGTGCTTAATCCTGTCAAAAATAGCAAAGAGATGCAATATTTTATGCAGCAGTGGAGTGGTACTAACAAAATAAAGCTGAATTCCTGCTACCAAATGGCCAAGAACTAGACATTCCATTATCCTACTTCACCTCTGTCTCATCCTTGATTGTCTGGCATCCAGCTAATCCTGCAGAAAAATAATCCGAGTTCTGTTTCCTGGAAACAGCACCCAATACAATATTCTAGAAGGACTAGAAAAACTCAAACACTTAGACTTCCTTAAACAACCAATGGTTACACAAAAAGACCTAACTGGGAACATTGCTAGTCCAGCTGTGAAACAAACAAAGTTGAAACAACGAACAGACAGCAAGGAGAGTCTGAAGCCTGCTGCAAAGACACCACCAAGCAAGCCTCTCAGAAAAGAATCTAAAGAGGAAACACCGGAGCCTGCAAAGCCTAGTCTGGCACTGGAAAAACCTCAGAAGTTGGAAAGCAAAGAAAAAGTTCCAGTTAAAAAAGAGAAACCAGCAAAACTGGAGACGAAACCTACAGTGGCAGAAAAAGACCTAACAAGTAAAGAAGAACAATTAATAAAATCTGAAACTCCTGAAAAACAAACTACAGATGTAAAACCAAAAGTGTCAAAGGAGAAGCCAGTGAAAAAGGAAGTCAAAGCAAAACCTGAAGAAAAGAAAGAGGAAAAAAAAAACCAAAGAAAGAGGTTTCTAAAAAAGAGGAAAAAACACCCATCAAAAAAGAGGAAAAACCCAAAAAAGAGGAGATCAAGAAGGAAGTTAAAAAAGAGATGAAAAAGGAAGAGAAGAAGGACACTAAGAAAGAAGTAAAGAAGGAAGCTCCACCGAAGGAAGCTAAAAAAGAAGCCAAAAAAGAGAAAAAGGAAATTAAGAAGGAAGAAAAGAAGCCAAAAAGGACATCAAAAAGGTTCCTAAAGAAACAAAGAAGGCAGCTCCTTCTTCAGCTGAAGCCAAAAAGCCAGCAGCAAAGCCTAAACCACAAAAGAAGGAGGAAACTGCTAAAAAAGAAGCAGTACCTCCTGGAAAGCCAAAGGAAAAAGGAAAAGTTAAGACTGTGAAGAAGGAGATCAAAGTCAGTGGAGCACAAGCTGCCCTTGCAGCAGTTGGAGTCGCTGCCACAACTGTAGCAGCTGTAGCAGCTGAAGAAATAACAGCCAGTGGGAAGGAACTTGAAGCAGAGAGATCCCTTATGTCTTCACCAGAGGATTTAACAAAGGATTTTGAGGAATTAAAAGCTGAAGAAGTAGAAACAATGAAAGAAACAAAACCTCAAGTTGGACTTATAGAGGATGGACTGAAACTCACTGGCACAGTACAAAAAGAGGCCTTTGAAGTACAAAAAGAAAATTAGATAATGAAGGACCTGCCGAGTCCTCTGATGAAGGCATAACCACCACAGAGGCTGAGTGTGAGTGTGAACAGACACCTGAAGAATTGGAACCTGTGGAAAAGCACAGGGTTGATGACAATGAAAAGTTTGAAGATGAGGGAACTGGTTTGGAAGAATCATCTGAAGCAGGAGATTATGAAGAAAAAGCAGAGACAGAAGAAGCTGAAGAACGAGGTGAAGATGAAGAAGAAAGACACCACAGGACACCACAAAACCATATATGGACGAACCACGAAAAATTCAGGAGAGCTCAGAAGAAATAATGGCTGAATCAGATGCTAACATTAAAGATGAAAAGTATTTTGAAAAGGCAGATTATGAGGCATCAGATGAACGGGCTGAGGAAGACAGAGAAGAAGCAATAGAAAAGGCGGAAACTGAAGAGACTGAAGAAGATGAGGAAGACAAAGCAGAAGACATCAGAGACGAGGAGGAAGCTGAAAAAATAGAAGCCGAGGAAGATTATGTGATGGCTGTGGTAGACAAAGCTGCAGAAGCTGGTGAAGTTGAAGATAAATATGGCCTACTCGTAATTACACCAACAAAACGCTCAGAGCCTCAATCTCCAGCAGTTGAACCAGCCTCTTCTATCCATGATGAGACATTACCTGGTGGTTCAGAAAGTGAAGCTACTGTTTCTGATGAAGAAAATAGAGAAGATCAACCCGAGGAATTCACTGCTACTTCAGGTTACACACAGTCTACCATTGAAATATCCAGTGAACCAACTCCAATGGATGAAATGTCAACACCGCGGGATGTTATGAGTGATGAAACTAACAATGAGGAAAGTGAGTCACCCTCTCAGGAGTATGTGAACATTACCAAATATGAGACATCGCTGTACTCTCAAGAGTTTGGCAGACCTAAACTTTCTCCACTTCCAGATGCTTTTAATGGATTATCTGAAGGATCTAAAACAGAAGCTACAGAAGGTAAAGACTATAATGCCTCAGCTTCCACCATCTCACCACCTTCTTCATTAGAGGAAGACAAATTCTGCAAATCTGCGTTCCAAGACGTATACCGGCACAAAGAAAGTGAAATCCAAGGCGCTGCCAAATTAGAAATCAAAGAACCCTATCAAGAAGATGTTGGTGGAAAACTTAGTCCAGCCAAGAGTCCGGCTGACAGTTTGTCCCCTCCATCACCTGTTGCCAAAACACCACTGAGTGAACGTAGTGTGAACTTTTCACTCACTCCCAATGAGATCAAGGTCTCATCTGAGCCTGTCCCCATTGCTACATTGCCTGATGTACATCAAGATGTTGCTGAAGAGCACTGTGCAAGCCCTGAAGATAAAACATTAGAAGTAGCATCTCCCTCACAGTCTGCTGCTGGTAGTGCTGGCCACACACCTTACTATCAGTCTCCCACTGATGAAAAGTCCAGTCAGCTTCCCTCTGAAACTAGTGAAAAGTCAACAGAAGCTCCTGTTAGCTTTGAATTCAGTGAAGTCAAAGATGAGACTGCAAAACCCAGAATAAGCCCTATGGATGAGCCTGTGCCAGATTCAGAATCTCCAATTGAAAAGGTTCTGTCACCTCTACGGAGTCCACCACTGATAGGTTCAGAGACCACTTATGATACATTTCTGAGTGCTGATTTAAAGTCTCCCACAAGAGATTACCAAAGTCCTTCTGAGGGGAAACCTGAAAAAGAAAAATCACCTGTTCATATGAGCCCAGCTTCTGAAGCCAGCTCTGTGGGCCTTTTCCAAGAAAAGCAAGATGAAAAAAGCATGGAGTTTATGGTAATTAAGGAAGGCTTCAGCCTAGAAAGGAAAATGGAGGATACAGAACCCAGCAGCTCCCAGTCTTCACTGATCTTGGATGAGCGGAAGTTAGCAGGTGATCTCTCACCTACTCAAATAGATATCAGTCAGTTTGGTTCCTTAAAAGAAGATACCAAAATGTCAATTTCTGAAGGCACTGTTTCTGACAAGTCTGCAACTCCTGTTGATGAGGTTGTAGCAGAAGACACCTATTCCCATATAGAAGGAGTAGCTTCTGTCTCTACAGCATCTGTTGCTACTAGTTCATTTCCAGAACCAACTACTGATGATGTATCTCCTTCTTTGCATGCTGAGGTTGGATCTCCCCACTCTACCGAAGTTGATGATTCCCTTTCAGTGTCAGTTGTACAAACACCAACAACTTTTCAGGAAACAGAAATGTCTCCATCTAAGGAAGAGTGCCCAAGACCCATGTCAATATCTCCACCAGATTTCTCACCTAAAACTGCAAAATCAAGAACACCAGTGCATGATCACAGATCACCTGAGCAGTCAACTATGTCAGTAGAATTTGGTCAGGAGTCTCCCGAGCAGTCTTTAGCAATGGACTTTAGTAGGCAATCTCCCACTGTAGGCACCAGTATACACCATATATCTGAAAATGGACCAACCGAAGTAGATTTTAGCCCTTCAGATATACAGGAGCCTACTTTTGCACAGAAGATTTCCCCTGTGGAGCAGTCATCTTACTCTCAGGAGAAAGATATTTCAGAAATTATCTCAGTTTCTCAAATTGAAGCGTCATCCTCAACTTCATCAGCTCATACACCTTCCCAGGTAACTTCACCACTGCCAGAAGAAACCTTTTCAGGTGCTGTTCCACCCAGAGATATGTCACTACATTCTTCTTTTACCTCAGAAAAGGTGCAGAGCCTAGGAGAAAAGCTGTCACCAAAGTCTGACCTATCTCCATTAACTCCAAGGGAATCTTCTCCTCTGTACTCTCCTAGTTTTCCAGATTCACCTCCTGCAATCACAGAAGCGGTGTCAGCTAGTCACACACCTTTGTTGTCATTGCAGGTGTCCTCTGGCAAAGGTTTTGGTTACCAGGATCCCCTAACAAAGCACAGTCCAGAACCTTTACTCAGCCCAGAAAAAGAAGATTCAGATAATTGCAGCAGGTCACCGGAAGAACTTAGTTATTCTTATGAGGCCACAGAGAAAGCTACTAGATCACCAGAAGATATTAGCTACTCCTATGAGGCAGTTAGAAAATCTACTAGATCACCTCAAGCGACAGACTATTCCTATGAGACAACTGAGAAAGCTACTAGGTCACCTGAGGCCACGGATTATTCTTATGAGATAATTGCGAAAAATATGAGGTCATCTGAGGCCACAGATTATTCTTATGAGATGACAGGGAAAACCACCAGGTCACCAGGGGTCACAGATTATTCCTACGAGACAACAGGGAAAACCAGTAGGTCACCTGGGGACACAGAATATTCCTATGAGACAACAGGGAAAACCACCAAATCTCCTGAGGCCACAGATTATTCCTATGAGACAACTGGGAAAACCACCAATCACCAGAGGCCACAGATTATTGCTATGAGACCATTGGGAAAGCTGTGAGGTCACCTGATATGGATTACTCCTGTGAGACAAGGAAAACCACTAAGTCACCAGAAACCATTAGCTACTGCTATGAGACAACTGGGAGAACCACAAGGTCACCAGAGTCCATGGTTTACTCCTATGAGACAACTGGAAAACCCTCCAGTTCACCTGAAGCCACAGATTACTCATTTGAGACAACTGGGAGAGCCATCAAATCACTCGAAGCTACCAGCTATTCCTATGACGGAAGTGCACATTTCACTCCAGGAAAAACATTAGCAGAATCCCGTCAAGATGTTGACTTATGCCTTGTGTCCTCTTGTGAATATAAACATCCCAAAACAGAACTGTCACCCTCATTTATCAACCCAAACCCCCTTGAGTGGTTTGCAAGTGAAGAACAGTCTCAAGATCAAGAGAAGCCATTAACTCAATTTGGGGGATCTCAACCACCTTCTGGGGGAAAGCAGCAAGGGCGGCAGTGTGATGAAACCCCTCCCACATCTGTGAGCGAGTCTGCCCCATCTCAAACTGATTCAGATGTTCCCCCAGAGACTGAGGAATGTCCTTCCATCACTGCAGATGCTAACATTGACTCGGAAGATGAGTCAGAAACCATTCCAACGGACAAGACAATTACATACAAACACATTGACCCACCACCTGTGCCAATGCAGGATCGCAGCCCTTCCCCTAGGCACCCTGATGTTTCCATGGTTGACCCAGAGGCTCTGCCTGTTGATCAGAATTTAGGTAAACCTTTGAAGAAGGACCTCAAAGAAAAGACAAAAACAAAAAAGCAAGGTACTAAGACCAAGTCGTCTTCTCCTGTTAAAAAAAGTGATGGTAAATCAAAACAAGTGGCTTCACCAAAGCCAGCTATAAAAGAATCTTTAGACAAAATTTCCAAAACAGCTTCTCCAAAAAAGAAGGAGTCTGTGGAGAAGGCAACCAAAAATATGTCTAATCCAGAAGTAAAGTCTCGAATGGAAGAGAAAGACAAAGACACGAAGAATGCAGCAAATACAACAACATCCAAGTCAGCAAAGACTGCAACCACAGGTAAGGAGAGATAGCAGTTCCCTAGTGCTAAGATTTTCTTAGTTGTTTCAGTGAAGTTAGTTTGCCTTTATATCAGCTGAGAATCTTGTTGTAGCAAATCCCTGAAGAAAGTCCAGGTTTAAAATATAAAGCCAGTGTGTAAAGGCTACATTTAAATGCATTAAATTAATTAATTCAACTTTTGTAATCTGAGAAATTTAAAGTGTCAGTTTGCTTAGAGAGTACATAAAATAGAAAGAATTTAATACTAGCTGTCTTAACTGTTAACCAGCTAATAGCATTAAAAGCACCACTGTAGTAGGTGAAGTGAAATCAACAGCAAAGTGAACCACTTTATTCATTGTAAAAAACAGGTAGGCACAATTCTCTTACCATAAATTAATGAAATCTAATATTGTGGGAGGCAAAGGTACTATTGGCCATTGGAAGCTCTTATTACTTTACTGGATTAATTTTAAAAGGAGCATTAAAAAAATTATAACAGTAGTAAGAGCACTTTCAGTGAACTATGCATAATCCAGTTAAAGTCTTATTCCATCACTGATGACTAAGCATACAGAAAGTTAATGTAATTTTGAATGACTGTTGTGTGTTCTAAGTAGTAATAAAATATGAATTAGATTACTGAAGGAGGCATTGTGCTAATCTTTTGTTTCCGGCAGATCTTGTTAGACTGTGTTTGGGGGATATTTTGATTTTGCAGCTGTCAGGACTGCTGTCATGTTGAAAGCATTTTTACAAGGAGCAGGTCTAGCATTCAGTACAGACCAACCAGCCTTCAACAACTGTCTTTAGCTTCCTCATCTTAAGTGTTATACTGTTTCTTTCTTACACCATTGTTTGCATGTCTCTGTTAGATGTGTTTCAAAGCAGCAGTATAGTTCTGCATGCTGAACCTTTCTCCAGCACTTTAGCTCTGTATGAGATTCTTCTTCCTTAAAGCATATTTCCCAGGTAAATGCTAAAGCAGAAGACAAGGCTATTTGATAATGTCATTTAGGTGTAAAATATAACATCTAATATTTTAACCAGTGTTGGTATCCACAATTCAGAATTATATAGCACAGATTTGTCGTAATAAAGGTGATAGAAGATTTTATAACATAACCAACAGTAAAACCGCTCTAATTCAGAAAAACTTATCGTATTATGGTGTTTATTTGACATTTTGCCCTGTGACGAACGGCAGGACAGGCTAGACAACTGTAATGGGCTTTGCTGGCCTTACACTATGTGACCCTAAATAGAGCGTATTGCTCAGATAATTGTTTACCAAGCTTTATCCTCTGTAACAACATGAGAAGGCTAACAGAACATAAATGGTGATCATGCAGATAAAATTACTGGTTGAGTCCTGCTTTTCAGTTCACACCATGATCCAGCACATAGCAGAAGCCCCTTTTTTTGAGTAGCATTTTTAATGTGTTTAAAATTTGAACTTCCTTTTGACTGAAGCTCTTCTTAGAACAATTACTATACTATGTACAACAGCAAAAACATGCTTCCTCCTACTTTTGTGGTAAGTGGCTAATTTGTGTATGCAAACAAGGATCCATCAGGCAAGCAAACACTTCTTCCCTGCTCACTGAAGTAACGGCTTTACAAGTTTCTTTGTACTCCCAAGTTCCTCTTTGACTCTCTTTCTGCTCACACATAGTAGCTTCCTGATGCACCTGTAAGGCAGTCTGAGCATATCAACAGCTACCATGTCTTGCTATGTGCTGATACCGCAAATCTCAGGACTGCTTCAAATCTGCATGGCTCTCTGTGTGACCCGAAGTTTTATAATTGTTCATACCTGAGACTTTCAAAAAGCTGTACTTCTTAACCTGGAAATTAATACCACTATTTATTGAATGGTAATTCAATAATCACAGCCCTGTGTAGTAATTTTGGGATAATAGTATTATATTAGTGAGAAGAGTTCAGTCAATTTTTGGTTATGTGGTAGTGAGTTTTTATTGTATTATATAGTTAGAGTTATTCAGATTTTTCCTCCCATTACAACTGTAGTTGGGATACAACAAAGCTGGAATGTGTCATTAGATGTAGGAGGGTAATACCGTAATTGGACATATCTCACCTCAGTGGTTATAACAGCAATTAATAAATGCATGTTTTTAACCAGCCTGTGATGTATTCTTTTGTTGCTTGATTTCCAAAGGACCTGGGAATACTAAGGTGGCAAAATCTACAGCAGTGCCTCCAGGACCTCCAGTGTATTTGGATCTGGTGTACATTCCCAACCACAGCAATAGCAAGAACGTCGATGTTGAGTTTTTCAAGAGGGTGCGGTCATCCTACTATGTGGTGAGCGGGAATGATTCTGCAGCTGAGGAGCCAAGCAGGGCTGTTCTGGACTCCCTGCTAGAGGGCAAAGCACAGTGGGAGAGTAACATGCAGGTATGCTCTTCATTGTTATCACTCCTTGGAAATTTAACCTTCTCTGGGATGCAACAGCAGGAAGCCAGAGCGCCTCTGGAGTGGACGGCAGCTACTGGGGCTGGGGTCCCCAGGCTGGACATCTCATTTCACAGATGATGTGAGCAGACACCTGAGTGAAGTATAGAGCTGCATTGCACTCCGTTGCTTCCCCATTTCTAACCCTGCTGACCTGTTCTGGTGAATAAAACAATTGGGAGCTGGTTTACAGGGCCATTTGGCTGCTTCATCTTGTTACTATAGCATATATGATCCAAGTTTGGAAGCATTGCAATTTGTAAGTAGAAAAGAAAAGCAAATGTTTCACAGTTTATATAGTAATCATGTACACTTGGAAACATCATACACCTTTGCATCATGATCAATAAATGAACAAAATATTTTGGTATAATATTTATTTATTTATTTATTCATTTATTTATTTATTTATCTATCTATTTATTTATTTATTTCCTTTTACCCATCCATTTATTCAAGTATTTATTGCATGAAGACCCACTCTTTCCAAAAGAAAAACGTAATTCTTGGCCAGGGCTTCTTACAAATGTTTCTGTTGTCCATTCCTCAGGACTTCTCCTGTTTTGTATTGCAGGTTACCTTAATCCCAACCCATGACTCAGAAGTGATGAGGGAATGGTACCAAGAGACCCATGAGAAACAGCAGGACCTCAACATCATGGTTTTGGCAAGCAGCAGCACTGTTGTTATGCAAGACGAATCTTTTCCTGCATGCAAGATTGAACTGTAAGAATGAGACCATGCACCGCAAGATTAAACTTTGTTTCCAGAAATTCTTCAGTTTGAAAACACCTTTTCTAAAAAATCAACCCATCTATTTCAACTGCTGAACTATATACCTGCCAAATGCTATACTGTGTCACAGTGATGCAAGTCACTAATATTTTTCAGACTTTGCTGATTGCTAAGGGAAATAACAGTATTCCCATAGTAGGGTTCAAATTACTGCAAAAATACAGATCCAGTTTCATCTCTGCTGAACGTTTGGAAACCATGCACTAGCAACCCCAACTGACTTCTACCAGGTAGAGGCATTTGCCCTCTAAAGAAACACAAGGAGATAGAGAGAGGGGTAGGAGGAGAAAGTAATAAATAATTAGATCTGCATTAGTCTCATGGCAATAGATGTATCGCTTACTGCAGTCTGCTTATGCTCTCACATGAAAAGGAAGTTTTAAATTTATATCAATCTGAGCTATCGCAATGGGGATACTTTTTACAGAATTAAGGTAGCTGAAAAATAAAATGAAACAGAACATGACTAGGAAGGAACGTACAACCTAAATGCTGATCAGCAGTTTTCCACTTTAATTTGAACTCTGCATACTGACATACCATAACAATCATAGGCCAAATATGCATGTAGTCTGCACCCCATCCAGAAGTCTAAAACCTTTATTTCAACATGCAGAATTGTTGGTCTAAGGCATGCTCCCACTGAAAGTCCACTCACTCCAGCCAGAACTGACCAGTCCACATGCTTAAACGCCCATGTCCACTCTTGATTTACCGAAGCAAAATACCAAAGCAGCTGGGAGTACATACAGTAGACAATTTGCCTTAGAAAGTGACTTGAATGTACAAAGAAACTTGATGCACTTATTTTTTAATGTTGAGACAGCAAATTTATAAAACATCTGTGTAGGATCATAGTTACACCAGTAAAGAAGTATGAATGTGCATGTGTGGTACTAGAAACCTTTCTGACTGGTCAAATGGCTTGGTGCTATGAATTCTGTGTGTTAACTATGTGAACGCTTCACTGATGCACCTGGACAGCTCAACAAGGCAAGATGAGCACTTTTTTTGAAAGCTTCTTTTGTACTGTGGAAGCAAGATTGAAGTGGTGTCCAGTATCAGAGTTACAAAACTTAGTGAAACATTCAGAATGATGAAAAAGGTTACCTGCAAGTCTGTACAGTATTCAACCTTCCTTTGTCATACCTTATTTTATTTGTTTAATTTAAGAGTGAATATGGGAACAAATGTACAGAAACCTTTTTTTTAGTGCTGTGTGAACTTTTAATAGATGACTTTTTAACAAACATTTTCATTTACAGGAAAATGCAAAGAAAAATTTTTCAGGTGAAGGCAATTTTTTTAGTAGTTTTATAAGATAAATGAATAATGTTGTTTAAGGTTTTAGTGAGAATGGATATTGAGGTAAAATTTATTGAAAATAGTAAACTTCCAATACCTTTTGGGTAGTGGGGGCTGGAAGGGCACCCTGGTAGTAAAATTAATCTATTGATGATGACAGAAAATGGGATTTTAAAAGTTGATTGCTCAATTCTTACAAGGGTGTAACCTATATTCTCAACCATCACAAGATCTTGAAAAAAGATAGAATAAGCAATAAGTTAAAATAAGTCCTTTCTCCTCTCCTCTCCTCTCCTCTCCTCTCCTCTCCTCTCCTCTCCTCTCCTCTCCTCTCCTCTCCTCTCCTCTCCTCTCCTCTCCTCTCCTCTCCTCTCCTCTCCTCTCCTCTCCTCTCCTCTCCTCTCCTCTCCTCTCCTCTCCTCTCCTCTCCTCTCCTCTCCTCTCCTCTCCTCTCCTCTCCTCTCCTCTCCTCTCCTCTCCTCTCCTCTCCTCTCCTCTCCTCTCCTCTCCTCTCCTCTCCTCTCCTCTCCTCTCCTCTCCTCTCCTCTCCTCTCCTCTCCTCTCCTCTCCTCTCCTCTCCTCTCCTCTCCTCTCCTCTCCTCTCCTCTCCTCTCCTCTCCTCTCCTCTCCTCTTTCCATTTCCTATTTCCTCCTCTCTACTCCTACTCTTCCTTTCTTCTTCCTTTCCTCTTCCTTTTCTTGCCTCTTCTTTTATGCTTCCTTTCCTTTCCCTCCTGTCCTCCTTCCTTTCCTTCTCTAGACTGATTGCAGAACAACATCACTGTTCTGTGATTTGAGACAGTTTGGAATTTTTAGTCTCAGAAGTTTTACCCCAGTTAAAAAAAATCATGTTACATTGTAGAATGGTTTGCAAATCTGAATTTAAAGAGGGTGTATAGGCCTCCAGAATGGAGATATGGGCTGGTCTGTATGATTCACCATTATGACTGGTATTAAGTTTCACAATGTAGTGAACTATGACCTCATTTTATTTTCTTTACTTCTAATTTATTTCAATTTTACATTGTTAGGATATTTTTGTTTAATAGGTATATGTTTGCACTCCTAATTTTTATGAGGGTTTTTTTAATACTGCTTTAGGGTCCTTTAAGTGTGGGCTCCTGAGGCCCATTTAATGCTGTGAATTACTGTTTGTCAGTAGTTGGGGGTTTTGATTTATTTTTAATGTTTCTCTTTTTTTCAGGTATCTCTAGCAATGCTGTTTTATTTATTGCTATACATTTTAAGTCATTGAGAATAACTCAGAATGACTATGGCACAAAAGGCAAATGGAAATGCATTCTGAAAACAAGCATGTTTGCTAGGCTCATAATCATTCACTTAAAATTGCTTTAGTAATACATAGTCTACAAAACTATAGGCAAAATGTTTGGCAGAATAGTTGTACTATTTCTATAATTATTTCTGCTTTGTCTACTTTCTTATAGGTCAGATTTCAAACTTTTTGAGTGGGTGGGAACAGATTTTCTGATTTTCTGACAATATCTGAAATGGTCTGTATCTCTGCTTTGGTAGAAAATCTGTTTTAAGTACAGCAGTGGTCCTGAGACTAATCTCACTTATGCCACTTACTCCTATGAATCAGGAGCAATTTCACTACAGTCAGGGAAGTTAATTTGGTCCTACTGTAAATGAAATTGGAATCAAGCCTTAAGTCTCCCCAAGCAAGTTTGTGATGGCTCACTCATTTGTTCTACTTTTAAAATAATAATAATAATTAGACCATTACAGCTGATCTTAAAATGTACATTCGCTTTTTTGCTGCTACAAGAATGTTAAAACCCCAGTCTGGCTATTCTGAGGTATTGTAATGCCTGTTCCATCCATTCCCTTTCAAATGGCAATGGTGCCTGGGTGCAACACAGCAACGAACTCCTCCATTAGCTCCTCTTGCCCTTAATGTCTTTCCTGCCTGTCAAACTAATCTAACTGTGCTAGTCCTAGTACTACACAATTAGTTTAGTGTAACAGTCATCAAAATGTACCGTGTACATTAATGATGAGTGCTGTTGATCAGCATAGATTTCTAGGAGCATGGTTTGTTATTGATTAATTATAAAGATTCAATATCTGAGTGTAAAGGACACTCCATTTAAATGATGGAATTACTCATAACAGCATCTCCAGTCATGATCTTTATGCTATTATTATACTGCTTCATGTGATTCAATGAAGAATTAACTTTGGGGATCCCACCCCACTTCTGAACTTGGACAGGGCCTCTCTTGCATGCCTTTTCAAAGTCCTGTGGTGGGTTTGTCTTCATTGACCTCTATTTTCACCCCATCTTTCATAGAAATCACTTCTGATTTTTTTTACTTACTTTACCTACTGTGGTGAATGGCGATAACTGTGTATATGAATGTGGGTTTTTTTAATTGTCTACGATAGCTTATGCATTTTAGGAGAGTTCTGGTACTATTTACTAAGAATTAATCAATTTGTTAATTGAATTTTCAATCCCTCCTGCAAGAAGCAAGTCGGCGCCAAAGAGCGCTTACTGTGCATTTGGGACATTTCTGTCATATGCTTCTCTTTGTTCATCTGTCACCAGAGGTTCTTGCTCAGTAATGATGTTTTGAGAGAAACAGTAATTTTGTTGGTCTGGATTTATTAGAAAAGGAAAAAATATGTTTCCACTTGAAAGAAACTAAACTTTCATCTTTTCACTTAGTAATTGAACAAAACACTAAAAGAAACTAGGGGTAAGCATTTCTTAGAATGCAATTATATTATTCACCTGGTTTAAAAATGTTTGCTATTTAAAATAAAAAAAAGAAAGAAGTCTGTTTGTCGTGACTTTACAAAAAAATCTAAAAAAATTAAGTAACTAAATAAAACAATGGTATAAAAATATAGAAAGAAAAAAAAAAAAAAAAAAGAACTAAAAAAGCAGCTTCTCTGCACTAGACTAGCTAGGAGCTCCAGATGGCAGGAGCTACCTGTTCAAGACTGGGCTGTGACCACAACTGTAAAAGAGGACATCTGAAATATGTTTTCACACATTTGCATGCAGCCGTTATCTTTCAAACTATGGAAAGAAACAGTCTTGTTGCTGGCTGAGAAGCACCTCACACACCTCCTCTCTCTTGTTCTGAATGGTGTTTGTGTCAGTCTGCAGCTGTGTATGGTATTATGTCTTATAATCTTGCATCACTTCTATTCTATCCAGTCATATCTAATGTAGAAAATTAGTTTCCAGTGAAAGTAATATGTAGTGCTTTTATGATATTTGTGTGCAATATCCCCTCTTCCATTGAGGATATTTGATGTAAAGGAAACAAACTCGGTTCCACAATAAAATACAAAAGTGGTAAATTGGTGTTGACATGTTTCTTGTCTTTGTGTATGTACGTATTTTTAAGTTTTCCCTTTCCTTCAATCATGATTACCTACTATATGGGGTTTTTTCTCAGAAGATGAATGACTATTTAAATACTAGATAAGAACCAATATCTATTTAGAAATTGGAAAATAAATGCAAAAGATTATTTTTATCTCTTGTGGTGTAAAACATTACCATGATGTACCATGATGTGGCTTCTTTTTGTTGTTCTCATTTCTGTATCCCTCAGCAGCATGAGAAAACACCTCATTTTCAGCAAGTACACATTCAAGGGCCTGTGTCAGAGATGATACTCAATAAAGTTACATCAAACTGAGCCCACCCTGGCATGGAAAAGACATCTTTTCCAAAGTTGTTGCAGTTTAACAAGAGTGTGCAGGTTGTATCCAGTGGCCATAGACTCTTCCTGACCGCTGCTGCCCAGTAATCCCCATGAGAATGGATAGAGCATTTGGGGAAGCTGGGCTCTCAGTTTAGTTTTATTACTCTGTTTAGTTTTTTACTTTATAAACGTAAGACTTTTCCCCTACTGCTATTAAAGGGATGCTGGAAGATCAGGCTTTCTGCCTCTGTAGTTTTTCTTGCCGCTACAATGCCTGCCATGGTGAGGTGCAGCAGTCAAGGTTTATGTTTTTTAGCTCGGCAAGATGGTAGTGACATGAAAGCAGATAAAGGCTGGGGCAGCAGGGAGCAAAGGGTGCTCGTTCCTAGGAGAAGCAGTGACCCTGTGGGATTTCCTTCACCCTCAGAGAGCAGGTTTTTTTTGTGGGCC